AATATGGGAATCATGTGAACCTTCTTCTGCAATGTAATTCGATTGCGTTTTGAGTTTCTGACAGGTCCTGAACCAGATATATGAATGATGTGGCCAAGAATTTTGAACAATGGCTCACCACCTGTGTGTTGAGGGTGAGGGAGAGGCAGAGAATGGGGAGTGAAAATTTGTGTAGATGATATGCTGCCTTTCCATACACATATGTAAATATCTATGTATGCTATATGTGTTACATATAGAAACTGTAGCAGGCCAATAATTGCAGGCTATAAGGGTAAAAAATCTCTTGTTACAGATGCAGAGAGGGAGCCGAACTGGATACTTTTATTGTCTAGAGAATGAAGAGATAGGATCAGGGATCTTCCAAGGTCATTTCCAACTCTGACATTCTAGAACTTTGTGGATATTTTCCTGTAGTCCAACAAGTCTACACCTTTGAAGTGTACAAAACAGACCACTGTCCTTCAAGTCACACTGGCATAAGGCAGATCATGGGTCTGGATTACTCTCAATGTCATATCTTATTCAGCCTTTGGATGCTATTTAGCAAGATGCCTGTCCGAATAGCATGCGACGGTGACCAAGGCAATTAGGGAGATTGATCTGGCATGCATGATTTCATTCTCTGCTTCCTACAGAGAGAGAGCCCATCAGGGTCCAAGATAATCAAATTTGATTTTGCCCAAATTAAGACATTAATTTTTCAAGTTGTTTTGGTGATGTTATCTTTAACTGAAAACTTTATTATTTGAAAAAAGTAAGTGTCTCAGAAAGATTTTCAAAATTATACTAAATTTACTTGTCCTTTCTGTCCTTTGGTGCCCTTTACATCCATTTATGATTTAAAAACAAAAAAAGAAAAAAAAGAACACCAGCAAGGTTGCAAATTAGTTTTATGTTATTTTTGAGCTTCTTTTTGTATCCCGTCTTATGTCACATCAATCTGTTTGTTAATTTTAGGTTGCTTCATTTCATTACTATTGTTTTTATGTCATCTGAAGGTATTAAAACGCCACAGAATAATAACCTTAAATTTAAAAAAAAGCATAGCTAAAATAGCTGTGATATTTTCTGGATATTGATTCTCTAATTGGATTAGTCTCCCTTTGATAGAATTCCAAGGAGGTAAAGGTTTGGACCATGCTTCACAATGGGTTGGATCTTGTCCTAGTGATCATGAGTGATGCTCATTCATTCAACAAACACTGATTTAGGGTCTGCAGTGGGCCTGCTCTGTGCTCTGTCAGCATCGCCCATGCAGCCGTGTTCCTGGTGGCAGTTACAGGATGAGTAGGCGGGAAAGGCAGAATGAGTTTTGGAAAAGGTTCCAATCTGCTTTCATGTCTGCCTGGGATGGAATTACTGGGAAAAGCTGAAATGGCAAGTGGCCTGAGAAAGGAGGCGGAGGCTTTCTGCTCCATGTGCCTGGAAGCAACGCGAGTCTTCTGGATGATAGATCTGGACTTGAGGGAAGCTCTTGGGTTAACCTAGCTGTCCCTCCAACTCAGAATTTAAAGGCAGAATCCACTTGCCCGTGTTGATGCCAGATGAGAGCTTTGGAAATGGCAGCGGATGGAAAAGATGTTGTGTGAGATCTAGAGTGATTTTGGCAATGTATGGGTCTTTTGCTACAGATATTCCTGTAGTAAGATGTTTCTTTCAATTAAGTTTCTTGTTTGTGTTGTGCTTGCAGAAGGGGGAAGGCTCAGGTAACATGTAGTTTTCATATGGCCTACTGTACCCTCCCATTGATCAACCCTCACCCTAAACCCCTGGGAGGAAGCTGGGTCTTTTGCGCCTTGGAAGAAAAAAATATAACATATTTACCATGTATTCATCTAAACCCCTGGGAGGAAGCTGGGTCTTTTGCACCTTGGAAGAAAAAAAATATAACATATTTACCATTTATTTAGTGCTTTTATGGGTTTTACTTTACTTAATGCTCACAACTCTATGGAGTAAATATTTTACTAATGGCATTTTATTGAGGATCAGAGAATTTTTGTCTTAGAGGCAGGATTTAAGTCTGATTCAGTGAAATTCTGAAGTGCGGGTTGTTGTAACCACGAAATGGGAGTATCCCACAGGTGCCTCGGATACCTGGGTGGGAGGTCAGCCGACAGGTTCTCTACAACACCTACCAGACAACTGCCACCTTCGTTTCACGGGTGTGACAACTCAGAGACATCAAACTAGGCACTGAGAGTGTCGCTTCGCATCTCCATCCACCTTCACGTTATTACGATGGCTACATCTGCTAATTTCTTGGCACACTTTTGCAGATTTCAGCATTTTTGGAAAGCCACAGCAGCATGGATGTCGCCCGTTCGCGACCTATTGTTATCTTAGCCTTTCTCTTGCTGCGTTAATTTCCTTGTTCTGTACCTAGCAGAGTGACCTGCTGGAGCACTGCAATCTGGCGAATCAGTGAGGACTAGGAGAACCTCTGAGTGAGGCGTGCATTATGGAAGAAGTGGGGTGGACATATAGATGGCATTTGGGCTTGACTAGAATTTGTCAAATAAGTAGTGTTAAAGAACTTTCTACCATGTTACTTCTTTAACTTGAAAGTATGAGTGTAAATTTCTTTTCAAAAGAGTAAAAAAACTAAAAATATCATTGTAGACTAAGTCTTGATAATATAGGAAAAAGGCATACAGAGTTAACCAGAGACCTACTTTATACCTAGAAATAGCAATGAAAAAGAGCTAGCTTTTGTAAGAATTACAGTGAACTAAAATACAATTGTACTCAATGGGATATGCTTACTTCTGTTCTTTATCTGGTAACCATGAAAAAACTGAGCAAGAACAGTAAAACCATATTATAATAATAGCTCATGAACCCATTCGTGGCCTCCAATATTTCAAATATTCAGTTGTGTCCTTTGATGGACACAAGTCATGGTGACCTCATAACTGGCAAATAAAAGGGAATAGCTGTGTGAGCTAAAAGCAGTTTCTAAAGTGGCCCCACTACATTTCCATGATATACACAGTATCTTACTTTCTCAGACCCACCTTGGAACCTGTGCCTCTTTTAGAAGCAGAATATATTTCCGTGATTTTGAGCTATCTCATACAGTGATGAGTACTTCCGATATAGAAAAAAAATGGCTGCCTGGTAATATTGCTAATAGTAAAATTATTTCCCGTCTGCGTACCAGTTGAATATGGGTGGCTTTTTTTCCCCCTAATATCTTTGACCTTTTCTTTTCTTTCTTTCTTTCTTTTTTTTTTTTGAAATAAACTCAGATATTACTACCAAAAGTGGAAGGTAAAAATTATATTAGCACTGTTATATGGACTGTAAAACCTTAGGCTGGTTCCTAAGGTGGGCCTGGGTTTTCTTATATTTCTCAAACTAGGATTGCCAAAGTGATGCTCCAATATTCAGATCTTTGTTTAAACACAATGATGGCTAAATTAAAGGTGAATCTCTGAAGTGCTGGGAATAGATGTTTCATTGTGGTTTCTGATTGTCGTTTATACACAAGCACACACACACACACACACACACACAGAATTTATTAGTTTTTTCAGTCCTTTTTAAACCATGAAGTTATTAGGTCAAGTAAGTGCCAGGCACTAACAATGCCCCAAATGTTGCTTTTACCATTTATAAAATACTTTTCTGTACATCAATGCCTTGACTTGAATATTCCAGATGTTCATGAAATCATAGTGAACATCAAAGACCCAAAGAGCATATAGCTAATTAAACAATATTTAACTTAATTTTCTATCTTTATTTCTGGTTTTATTTGCTCCGTAATTGTTTATTTGCACCATGGTGAATTTTTACATCTGAATGGTTGCATATTTAGACATGACAGTGGTAAGTTTTACAGTTGACAGTTTGTGGATTGATATAAAAATGAATAGGATTTCCTTGAGAAGAGGATTAGGATTTTGCCTGGGGAAAATTGGTATTTTCTCAGTCTGTGATCACACTGGTGAAGCTTGGAAAGTAATTCTAGGGTCCTGAATATGTTTCTACGGCTCTGCAACATAATTCTTTCTCTAAAGAATGAAAAGACTTTTGTGGAACTAGGTAGACTCTGCAGGTAGGAAGTAGCAGGTAGAAGAGTAACTGTGGAAAGGGTCCTGTTTACTTTGGGATAGGGAAAGGGATCACAAAAATCAGGTTAGAGATACGGTAATGAGGCCAGCTGGGCAGACTTCTTGGTGTTCTAGGGTAATAATATTTTTCCTCTGAAGAATTTGCATTTTTACATTTAAAATTAAGAACAGAATAAAACACAATGTCAACATTTTTTTTTCTTTTTTCCTGAAATGAGAAGAGACTTTCTCCTAAGTATGAAAATCTTGATAAGGCGTTTTATTCCACGGATAATATCTAAACAGGAACAGAGCTCTGATTGCTGGTAGCCCTGATACTTTGGCTTTTTATGCAAAATATTCAGGTAGGGTTGCTTCTTTATCATGGATAACAAAATATATTTGAAAGTGTGGTTTCCTTGGATTCATATACAAAATATACAAAAAGTAGTTGTTTTCAAAATGTACATTTGGGTTCTGGAGGGATATCAGATGTATCCATTTTTTCAAAGTAGGCCATGTGCTTAGAATCAGGGCTATTTTCGATGCCATGGACTATCTTGAATGACTGTTAACTTATGAGACAAAAACGGGTTGGAATATTTTTTCAATTGAGGAGAGGAAAAATGAATTCCTTGAACTTCCTGCAAACTCTCTAGTACCTTGGTAAAATGAGAATTCCCACGGGAGAGAAGATGATGGCTTAGGTGGACTTACCAGCATGAACGCACTGGAGATTGTTTGCTTTAACTGAACTTTCGGAGCAAATTTAGTTTTTTTCTGTGAGAAATATTGACGATGCATTTTTTTCTCCTCCTAAAATCCATGATGAGGTATACAATAAAAAATGTTAATATATGGATAGACACAAAAAAGACACAGGGCAGGATCCTACAACACAGGTAATAACAGACATAATACAACTCTGACTCAAAGCAGAGGCTTTCGTGGTTCACATCATGATGACAGTTTTTCATGGTATTGTGTGAGACGTGCCTCCCTCGACCCTTGTTATGACATATACACATTAATAGTCTGACCTCAGGGAAAAAAGAGAGAAAGAAACACAACAAAACACAAGAAAAGGACCCCTCAATAAAACAAAACTGTCCCAAAAGAGTATCTATCACACTTAAGCAATCATAACTACTATTAATTATTATTTTGTTTTATTCTAAAAGCAGATTTCTACTAGAAAATGATACATTTATTTATTTAGTTAGTTCTCAGTTTTTTGCCATAGGGCATGTGTTGCTCGTTGGAGAGAGACAGAGAGAGACAGTGAGAGGGAAAGTGAGAATCTACCCTCCCACCCATGGTGGGGCATGGCCTCCACAATTCCTTCTCCTCCATTCTTCTCCTGGGATTTGGGGTACACGTGCATACATGTCTGGCATGATTTTTCAAGTCATCAGGTCCAGAACTCGAACCACAGTCAGGTGTGGGGGAGTCCAGTGCTTTAACTGCTATACCATCTGTTGGCCCTAGTGATTCAGTCTTTTTGATACATCCAATTAGTCTCTGATAAGTATCATCCATAGTTATTACTACATATAGCTCCTTCCCCCACCCCTAGTAGAAATTGTACTACATCCTGAATTTTAATTTTGACTTGAGAGGAAAAATTATCTCCCAGGGGAGGATGGCCACACCACAATCCCTTCTCTTTCATTCTTCTCCTGGGATCCTGGGTCTGCACACACATGTACCTTGTATGATTTTGAAGTGACCAGACCATGGGTAGCCATGTGTGAGTCCAGCAATGTGACCATTAAGCCATCTGCTAGTCCCTAGAACTAGTGAATCTGCCTGAGTTTAGACCTCACATTTCATTTCTTATAAATCCTATGCACCTTATTAAACTTACCTGTGACTATGTATATGTAACTCCAAAAGAGGGAAATACTTTTGGGCTTGCCTTAAATTAGATGAAGTAATGAAAAGCATAAATGGGACATTAATGAGGTTATTAGCATTTCTGGGAATAATGCATTATCAGTTGATATAAGGATGATTATTTATGGTTAGATTTATCCATGGGGTAAGAGAAGCCAGGGTAACTATTTCAACAAAGATTATAACTGAACTTAATTAAAAAGTTTAAAGGGAAAAGAAGTTATTGAAATGATTTATGTTGAAGATAAATTTATGGTAGAAATAAAATTATCTGGAGCAATGACATGGTTATGTAGGGGTATGCTTGAGTTTTTTTCCTACATAATTTCTTCTTGTATTAATTAGATATAAATAGTCAGGGTGCTTGTGCTTGTATTTTAGACTTCAGATACTGTGTTGGTCTTAAAATAATATAGACTATTTTTAGGATTTTATTAGATTCTTCTATAGAGGAAAAAAGCTTTTAAAATGATAGTGTTAGAGCCCCTCCCCTGCATTTTAATATTACGTTTTTAGTGTTTGATTTCCAGAGCTTTGAAGATATAACTTTGTTCTAGGATGTTATTGAATTTCATGAATTTGTGGAAAAACTTAGAAAGCAAATGAGGTTTGCAAGCACATTACTTGTATCGTGACAAATTATGCTTAATTCTTAAAGAAGAATATAAACAATCACTTAAAATGCTTGATAAGTTTATGACGCTTATAAATCAAAAGGAAAAGTGACAACTCTAGTTACCAAGGAAGCTTACTCAAGTAAACTTCCTGGAGTGATTTTAAGGGAACCAGTCACGGCTGATGAAGCTGGCCAATAACCCTTATAAAAGGTCTGTCAGTGACCAGCAGTTAGCATAATGGCTATGTCACTGGACTCCCATGTAGATGACTGTGGTTCGAGTCCCGGACCTGGTGGCTTAAACTCATGCAGGGCATGTGTGTGTGTGCTCAAGATCCCGAGAGGAGAACAGAGGAGAAGGGACTGCTGTGTGGCAATCCTTCCTGAGGTGGGTGATTTCTCTCTTTTTGTCTCTCTGTCTCTCTCTGTCTTTCTGGAGAGCACATGCACCCTATAGCAAAAACTGCTCAAAAAAAAAAAAGTCTGTCAGAATCACTAATATTCCTTATTTTCTTCTGTCTAGAAGTCCTTTTGGCAGATGCTATAAAGAATGAACATTAGTATTCCAAAGAATCTTTGTAGTGTGTAGTAGGTGAGTGTGTTTAAAGGAGAGTTAGGGGAGGTAGATGGTAAGACCTCAAGGAAATGAATACAGAGACTTAAGACAGTACCAAGCAACATTGGCCTCATTTGAATTTTGCCTAGGTCTAAAAAATACCTGCTAAAAAGAAGGAAGTGATAAAATAGTTTGTAGCTATCTATTGGCTTGATTAGATGGGGAGCTGCTTGATGGTGGCCGTGATGGTATCATTTACTGTGTCCCTAGCAGTGTCTGACACAAAGTTGTGAATAACTAGATAAACATAGCACTGAGCATATTTGACAAATAGACTTTACTATTTGAGTATGTGCTGGGGAAAATAGAACTAAAGTTTGTGACTTGGGGTCTAAATCCTACTTGTAGTGAAATTAGACTAATAAAATATTAACAAGACTAAAAAACATGCTATAATTACTCTGAACCAGAACTCCATTTAAGTGCTTGAGAGCTGCCGTTTTCAAAGTGTGGTCTGCAGATCAGCACTGGTGTGTAGTGACAGTGAGTGTTTAGGGGTGCACTGAGCTTGCTTCTTGGAAATGTACCTGTATTTGCAACATGGGCAAGATTAGTGACTTTCACATAGGAGGGACAAAGCAACAAATATATGAAAATAGAGCTTAATGTGCAGTTACTGACTTTTTGTAATTTTCAGCTCAGGGCCGAATAGTCTGGACTGGAAAGAATCTTTGGATTGCTCTGTCAGATGGGATAAATCTTTTTGCTTGCAAAGTGAACAGTGGGCTTAAATGAACATCAGCAGTTTCAGAGCGCTACACCCAATTCCACACTTCTAACTCTGTTAGAGCTCCCATTGATTTTAATGATGATGTTCAAAGATTCAGTCTGTCACACCTAGATTAGAACTGGCTCATAAAATGCACCTGGAGCTGGCGGATTTTGTCAGGAGGCATGGTAACGCCAGTCCCCTTGGGGGAAGATACTAGTAATTGGCTTAACTCTTTGCTGTTTGTGATGAATTATTTCTTCTGAAAAAAGATGAGTTGATACAATCCAGTGATTCTGTAAGCACATGGAATGCTGGTTGGCTAAAGACTAAACACGAGTTTGAGTTCTTTATTATAGCATTACTTTAAAAAAATCATACTGTACAGTAATATTTACGTATTCAAGGATGATCTAATACATTTTGTGTTTTCAGATCCTTATTTGCATATGCTCTCACCAGAGTAGTCTGGAACATTTCTTTAGCAGGATTATGGGGGATTCATGTTGGTGCTGGTTGCTCTGGGGGTCATGCAAGGCCCTCTATTGGAATTTAGTATTCTCACTTGCAAAAATAAGGCAACTGAATTTCAACACCTCTAAGGTCTCTTTTCATTTTCAGTCCATGAAGACTGGATTTGAACTATTATAGAATGTACTTTAGATAATAAATGATGTGCTAGAAGTTATGGAGAATACACAAGAGGGGAGCATAATATTTTCATGTGTCATTCAAATAGTTCAAGATAAAAGGACAGCATTTTGCACCATTATTTTTGAGCAAAGTCATAGATGCCTCAGAGATTCCTGGTACTTCATCTCTGTGCCAGTATCACACATCCTGGTACCACGTCTCCAGTGCCACATCTGCTGGTACTATGTGGCACAGTGAGGAGACATGGCACAAGAAGACATGGCACCCAGCAATGCACTGAGATGTGTTACGAAAAGACATGGCAGGTGGTGTATGACTCGTGTTGATTTTCACATGTGTGTCATAGGTGTGTCCATTAAGATAGAATGACATGTGTGTCTGTTTTGACACATTTCCAATTTGACACACATGTCCACTTGACATGCAAGCAACGTGTGTCATTTGTGACATGTGTGTCAATTTTGACATGTTAAATTTGACATGTGTTGATTTTTGACAAAGCATTGAATTTGACACACATGTCTTTGTGACAGGTGTATTGATTGAGACACATGTGTTGATTTTGACATGCAAACAACACATGTATCAATTTTGACACATGTCAATTTTAACATGTGTAGATTTTGACATGCAAACAACTCATGTGAATTTTGACACATGTCAATTTTAACATGTGTAGATTTTGACATGCAAACAACACATGTGAATTTTGACGCATGTCAATTTTAACATGTGTAGATTTTGACATGCAAACAACACATGTCAATTTTGATGTGTGTCGATTTTGACACACGTTAATTTTGACACACCTGTCGATTTTGATATGCAAATTGATTTTGACACACATGCTGTTGGTGACATATGACTATTTTGACATACGTCTATTTTGACATACAAACAGCACATGTCAATTTTGACATGGTATTAAAACACATGTCGATTTGAACCAGATTGAAGCAGTCAGAACGTGTTCTAACTAGTTCAAATCGGTTCTGACTAATGCAAAATGGTTTAAACCGGTTCTGACTGGATCAAACTGGTTTTGAGTGGTTCAAACCAGTTCTGACTCGATCAAACCGGTTTTGTCTGGTTCAAATTGGCCATAAATGATCCAAACCGGTTCTGAATGGTTGTAACCTGTTGGTTCAAACCGGTTTTGACTGGATTAAACCTCTTCTGACTGGCTCAAACCGGTTTTGTCTGTTTTAAACCGGTTTAGACCGGTTCTGATGGGATCAAAGCAGTTTCAACTGTTTCAAACTGGTTCTGACCGGTTCAAACCAGTTCTGACTGGATCAAAATGGTTTAGACTGGTTCAAACAGGTTCTGCCCGGTTGTAACCGGATCAAACCGGTTTTCACTGTTTCAAACTGGCTCTGACAGGTTGTAACCGGTTCAAACCGGTCTTGACCGGATCAAACCGGTTTTGACGGGCTAAAACTGGTTCTGACTGGTTTTAACCGGTTCTGACCGGTTCTAACCGGTTCAAACCGGTTCTGACCGGTTGTAACAGGCTGAAAACGGTTCTGACGGGATAGAACCTGTTTTGA